AAAAACATTCAAAATGTCTACATTTGAAATGTTTGTTCAGTTTTCTTCCAATTAATGGGTGCAAAGCGATAAATGTTTTCGAGACTTGAAAAACTGAAGAAGAAGGTTGGAAATTCTTTTTCGATTTTTAGAGGTGATTGTCGTTCTCACTCATCATAAATCATACTAATTGACCAAATTAGGGGATAATAGACCAAATTAGGGCATTAAAAATTGAAACATAGTATCAGCTTCCGCCTAGCAGCACTAGGGTCATCGGTTTGAATCCAAAACACGGGACTACCTGCCTGGAGTTTGCATGTTCTCCCTGTGTCTGCGTGGGCTTTCTCCAAGTACTGATTTCCTCCCACACTCCAAAGACATGCTGGTAGGTTAATCGGCTCCTGTCTAAATTGGCCCTAGTATGTGTATGTATGAATATGAGTTATGGACCTTAGATTGTGAGCTTCTTGAGAGCAGGGACTGATGTGAATGTACAACATATATGTAAAGTGCTGTGTAAACTGACACTGCTATATAAGTACCTGTATTAGTAATCATAATAATGCTAGATTACCAAATAAGGAGAGTAGGCACCGGCCTATGGGCCCCATGGTGTTTAAGGGCCCCAAAACAAGGGAACAAATTAAAATTGATTTAATCTTGAAATAACATTACATTGAGGCTTTATTAAATTATTTGCAAGAGATAGAAAAAAAAAGAATTAACTCAAAGAAACAAAAAATGTAAAATTAAAGACTCCATAGAAAAAATACTGAATTCATGTACTCAATGACAACTTAAGGTACATAAACCATAGACATCAGGTTCACATTACAGTTTATCTCTTAAAAGCTCATCTTTTTTCAGCTGTCAATTTGGTGCAACCTACGTACGTGTAATGTACAGTAGTGATGTCATCTCCAACTAGCGGCCGACGGGCACACTACTTACTTCAATGTTATCCCACTAGAGCGCATGCATGGGAAACCTCCAGAAACATTCAAGAGAGGCTCAAGGTTTCCACTGCCTAGGGGCCTCCTCCACAGAGTTTAATCTGGCACTGCATACTATGGTATCTGAACTAATTGTCTTTGGTAAATTTAGTTACTCCATTATGTTACCATCTAACACTGACAAATTATTTTTTTCAAATGAATGTTCTAATGATGTTTTCCATGTCTTTGGCCAGCATTAGCAGCTCAGTAGCAAATAGACATGTGCACACTGGAAATGTTTGTTTTGTTTCATTTCAAATGCACTGAAGAATTTCATGTTGTCATATTTGTTAAGTTGAACCAATTCATTTGCAGAAATAATTTCGACTCTCTGGCATTAATTTATTATATTCGTTGGTGCAGGTGGATTTGAAAAATTTAGCAGGTTTTTCACGAGATTGCTATATCCACTTAAGGACCTGGCCTAGCCTGACACTTTTTGTTTACAAGTAAAAAAAAGCACCATTTTTTTCTAAAAAATTACTTAAAACCCTCAATCATTATGTATTGTTTTAAGCAGAGGCACCCAGAGAATAAAATGGTGGTCGTTTCAATTTTTTATGTCACACGGTATTTGTGCAGCGGTTTTTCAAATGCAATTTTTTTGGAAAAAAATACAATTGAATGCAAATTCAAATTTAATGAATTTTAATTGCAAAAATAAATAAATAAACCTCAATTGTTTTGTAAAATATAAAAGATGATGTTGCACAGAGTAAATAGATCCCCAACATGTAATGCATTAAAACTGCACATGCTTGTGGAATGGCGACAAACTAAGATACTTAAAAATCTCCATAGGTGACACTTTTAAACATTTTTACAGGTTACCAATTTAGCATTATAGAGGAGGTTTAGTGCTAGAATTATTGCTCTCACTACAATGTTTGCAGCTATACCTCATGTGTGTGGTGCGAACATCGTTTATGTATGCAGGCACAATCTACATGTGCATTCGCCATTGCATTGGGGGATGGGGACACTTTTTTTGTTTTTAATTTATTTTTCTTTAATTTTTAAAAATGTTTACACTGTCCCTTTAAATTTTTTTTTTTTTTTTCAATCGCTTTTATTGCTATCACAAGAAATTTAAACAACCCTTGTGATAGCAATAAAGCATGACAGGTCCTCTTTATGGAGACATCTGGGGTCTGTAAGACCTCAGATCTCTTCTCTACTGTGGATAGCATCAGATAAAAAATAAAACATTGATCTGATGCATTTCCTCCCCAAAAAATGGCCATGTTTACATCTGCCTTAAACCAGAAGTGACGGAATGCAGTTGCTTCTGGTCTCCTAGACCATAGAGATGTCAGAAATGATCCAATCTCTGGTCACCTCTATGGCCAGCCTCCACAACCACGAATCCCAGGCTCCCCAGTGAGACGGGGCGACCCCTCCTACTGATTCTAAAAGCAATCCAGCGCCTAATCAGCTACTTAGATTGCTTTTAGCTGAAAAAGCATCAGCAACAGAATATTTTAATACTGGGTTTATGGCTGACAGCTGTGGCCCTGGCCCCGGTAAACTGCTTTGAAACCTTGAGTCTTGAAGCGGATATATATTAGTTTTCAGTTTCGATATTTCGGGTGGATTTCTTATACATATATATATATCGAAACTATTCAGTATTTTCGAACACAACAGAAAAAATAATGCAAAATTCGGCCCCCAAATTTTTTAAACCCAAGGCCCCTTTCAAATGGGGCGGATCCATCAGTGTGATCCACTTGTTCCGTGGGGGATCTCTCAACTGATCCCCACTGAGCAGGCGGATGACAGGTCTCTGTTCGATCTGCGCTGCAGAGTGGATATAGGCACTGCCCTCTGATTTTAATGGGGCGGTCAGATGAAAACAGACTGCCTGTATCCAAACGATTGTCATCCGATCCGCTGGATAAATGGGGATCCCCATCCGTCTGTTTTTGGCATACAGGATTGGATGCCGGCGGATGTCAGCAGACAATAGTCTGCTGACACCCTCCGGTCCATAGAAGTTTATAGATGGATTGATCGGGTGTACCTGAAAAACGGACAGCTGGATATCAGCTGACTATTGCCTGCTGACACCCATCGGTCCATAGAAGTTTATGGATGGATCGATCGGGTGCACCTGAAAAACGGACAGGTGGATGTCAGCAGACTATTGCCCGCTGACACCCGCCGGTCCATAAAAATTTATGGATGGACCAACCTGGTCCTCCTGAAAAACGAACAGGCGGATGTCAACAGACTATTACCTGCTGACACCCACAGGTCCATAAAAGTCTATGGATGGACCGATCGGGTCCACCTGAAAAACGGACAGGCGGATGTCAACGGACTATTACCTGCTGACACCCACAGGTCCATAAAAGTCTATGGATGGACTGATCGGTTCCACCTGAAAAACAGACAGGTAGACCCCATCAGTCCGCTCGTGTGAAAGGGGCCTTAGAATTGGATTAGACTGTGGAACTGGACTGACTGACTGTGACAATCACAAATTCAATTTAAATCACAACTTTACTCGGATCCAAATTACTATGAATTTTTTTTTAGATTTGTCAACATTCGTTACTATGCCCATTCGCCAATTCGTATACAACCGTGTGCCTGAAAATCGATTTGTTACGAAACGAACACGTATAGTAGCAAAGTGCCCTTGAAATGGCTTTAGATGCTGGCAGCTGAACATGACTATTAGAGATGAGATTTCTGTTGTCTCGGCTATGTGGGAAGAACTGAGACATTTTACACTTCTGTGGAAGCCTCTGACCTGGCTGCACACTGTGACACAGAGGAGATGGAAAAAGATGGCCGGCCAGAGGGAGAGAGGTCAGCGGCTGGACGATGAGTGACAGGACAGGCTCGCAGCAGATGACTTCACTTTTAAACTCTATTCTCCCTGAGGCCAGCTCCTCGGCAAGGAGGAGAAATGGATGGATTTTCCAGATTGGCTCTGGTGGCCTCACATGTTGACACAGCAATAATTTTTAATGAGAATTTTTTCAGTATTTGTGTGGGGGGGAGAAGTGAGTGTTGTGTACACAGATGCAGGCTTGGCCACCATGCTGGGAGAGAGGGCACTCCCTCGCATGCTGAGTTCAGGCCTAATACAGATTCCTTTCAGGCTAAGAGAAACATTTAGGCTTACTCACCTTTGAACTGCTTGCGATGATGTTTACCTTGGCTGAGCAAAGAGGCAGCTTTACAGATATTAAATACAGTCCAAAGGGGAATCTGGAGGCCTTCCTAAAATTTAATCACCCAATTTAGCAGATTTTACACAGGGGTTACTTGTGGAGAGAGCCGCCTGCTAGCGTACAACAATAAGCTCGGCCTGTGAAGTCGATGCGTTTAGGTCTGCTTAGGCACGGGGCCATGAAGCAAGCTGCACTGCAAACAAACACTGGAGAAGTGTGCTTCAATGTAAAAATGGCTATATGAGGGAAGATCTTCCTGTGAAAAGACTGAGGGCTCATTTACACTTCTGTGACCATGGAAATGCCTGACTGCATTGCAGTGCCATCACGATTGGCGGGCGCTTTGGCCTCCAAAAGCGAAAAGGGGTATAATTCCTGCTATGGCTGTGAAACAAAGCATCGTAGCTTTGGCATGTGTGTATCCCTGGCCACTGCCAGTAGATATTGGGGAATGGTAAAAGCACAGCTCAACCGTGGAGTTATACCACACCCAAATCTCACATGTGAATGAGCCCTTACCCTCGGTTCACATATATGTGGCCGTGTGGGCTGCGTTTTGCAAGGGCACGAGAGTCCAATTCATTTGAATGGACTCCCGTGCCCGTGACACGCAGGGAAGAAGTCCCTGCACTTCTTTGGAACATGCAGCCCGCACGGGAACCTTGGTTCCCAGTACGGTTGTGTTTTCCAGTGTGGGCGGCGTGCTATTAGAACTAATGGAACCCGCCCGCGGATCCGCATTTCTCTCACAGTGTGAACGTAGGGTTAGGGAGTGTTGGCATCCTATTTAATGAAGAGAGTTATATAAATGGACTTTATGGGCACAGAAACTGCATACACAAAATAGTAAAATCAGTATTTCTTTATTTGACATTTCGTCACACATAAAGCATTTAAGATAAAAGTTAGTTGTAGAATATACCCGCAATGAATGTCGCAGAGCCCACCACAGGGGCGGACTGACAACTCATGGGGCCCCCAGGCAATAGGGGATCATGGAGCCCCTCTGTCCTTGCCCACACTCAAAAAAGCCTATGAAAGGTACCAGGGACATCTCATGGGGCCCCCTACTGACCCCGGCCCTCGAGCAGTGCCCGAGTTCCCCAGTGGTCAGTCCGCCCCTGGCCCACCATATAATGAAGTATAACACCCAGTGATGTAACGTAGACATAAACCACCAAGATGATCTTATGGGGGGGGGGGGGGGGAACATTCAAAAACTGGAAAATTTGGCATCCTATTCATTTTAAAAAGTATGCCTTAACCACTTGCCCTCCTGAGGATTTACCCTCCTTCCTGACCAGGCCACATTTTGCGATATGGCACTGTGTTACTGTAACTGACAATTGCGTGGTAATGCAACGCTGCACCCAAGTGACTTTTACGTCCTTTTTCCCCCACGAGTTTTCTTTCGGTGGTATTTGATCACCTGTGCATTTTTAATTTTTTTGTGGGTAGAAAAAAAAAGACCGACAATTTTGAAAAAAAAACAATATTTTTGACATTTTGCTATTAAACATGTCCAGTAAAAAAATTTAAAAAAAAATCAAATTTTGTCATAAATTTAGGCCAAAATGTATTCTGTGACATTTCTTTGCTAAAAAAATCCCAATACGTGTAAATCAATTGGTTTACGTGAAAGTTATAACGTTTAAAAATGGCAAAATATATACTGGGCTTTTTTAAAAATTATTTTAACTTGTAATGGCAGCGATCAGCGACTTATAGTGGGACTGACTTATAACGGGCATTCTGACACTGGGGGGCAATAGACTTGGTGTCACTGACATCCTCAATGACACCAATACAGTGATCGGTGCTAATAAAAAACCCTGACACTGTACTAATAGCACTGGGCAGGAAGAGGTTAACATCTGGGGCAAGAAAAGGATTAACTGTGTGATGTGTGCTGTTTTACCTGGCAGGGGTGTCCAAACTATGGCCCTCCAGGTGTTGAGGAGCTGCAAGTCCCATGAGGCCTTGCAAGATTCTGACATCCACAGGCAAGACACCCAGAGGCATGGTGGGACTTGTAGTACTTCAACAGCTGGAGGGCCATAGTTTGGACAAGTGTGTGCTTCACTGTAAGCACACTGCTTTGCATGGCTGTGCTATGCAGAGCCATACAATGCAGAGTGCAAGAGCTGACAGGGGAGAGAACTGTTTTGTTTACAAACAGTTCTCCCCCTCCCGTCAGAGATGCTTGGCAATCACAGGATGCTGGCGAGTAATCACAGGCTGGGATCCGATGATTGACAGTCGAGGAAGTGAATGGCGGAGCGGGTAGGGTGGACGGGAAGCAGTTAGCTCAATGCACATCAACAGGCATCAAAATGTACCTCAGTGTGCCTTAATGCACATGTGTTATTGCACTACAAAGTGATAAATGGGCCCTAAGTCCCCGGTCACACTGGGTGTGACTTGGCATGCGGTTTGCATGCCATACGAATTGCAAATCGCATGACAAGTCGCACCCTATTGTCTGCAATTACAGCGCTCATATAGGTGCAGTTTTGACTTGGTCAGAGCCGCACAGATTTTTAAAGTAGTGCATGCACTACTTTTGGTGCGATTTGTATAGGCATCTGTATCAGATGTCTTGAAAATTGCACCTCAAATCAGCATGTCATCCTTTGAAATTGCGCAACTTCACTGTAAGTTGCACAATTTCTAAGTTGGGATTGGTGTGACGGGGGTGTAAAGTGAGAAGAGACAAGAGGTGACATAATTACAATATATAGTGCTGTGAAAAATTATTTCCCTCCCTCCTGATTTTTAATGCTGCGATTTAAAATCGCGTAATTTGTATGCAATTTCAGTAGATTTCTCGCAATTTGCAGTACAATTTCCATTATATTCTATGTATGTGAAATCACAACAAAACTGCAGAAAAAGTAATGCAAGAACTACTTTAGAAATCGCGCTGCAGCAAATCGCAAATGTTAAGACACTGAGATTCACATTCATTAGATGCGATTTCAGGTGCGATTTCAGTTCCCAAATTGCACCTAAAATTGTACCGGAATGACCAGGCACTAAATAATTCAGATCATCAAATTTTAATTTTACACAAAGATAATCCGAGTAAACACAAAATACAGTTTTTAAATGATGATTTCATTTATTAGGGAAAAAAGCTGCCTGGCCCTATGTGAAAAAGTAATTGCCCCCTAAACCTAATAACTGATTGTGCCACTCTTGGCGGCAACAACTGCAATCAAGCATTTGCGATAACTGGCAGCGAGTCTTTCACATCGCTGTGGAGGAATTTTGTTCCACTCTTCTAGGCAGAATTGTTTTAATTCAGCCACATTGGATGGTTTTCGAGCATGAACGGCCTGTTTAAGGTCATGCCACAGCATCTCAGTAGGATTTAAGTCCGGTCTTTGACTAGGCCATTCCAAAACATTATTTTTGGTTTTTTTTGAGCCATTCAGAGGTGGAGGATTGTTGTCCTGATGCATAACCCAAGTGCTCTCGAACTTGATGTCATGAACTGATGGCATTCTTTTTAAGGACCCATTCAAACCATGTGCACATGCACTTTGGAGGTGTGTTGGGGTGGCATTCACAATGAATGGCATCACAAAGCATCAATATATGTAACATGTGGTGTTGCATGTTTTCACAGCACAGTGGTGACAATGATCTGCAAGGCTCAATTTAAAAATTTATTTTTATGTTTATGAGGTTTTAAACTGATCTTGTTATCTGTTTTATTTACAATGTATACACAACCTTTGCTTTACAAATAAACATTTAATACATGGCAAAAAACTGCCAGCCATGCTTTGCCTTAATGAAACCACTGAACGAGCCATGGGTCACTGCTCTGATTCATTTAGGTGCTTGAGCTCAACTTTAACAACTTTTTTTTTAACAGAGGAGCAAAGGAAAGAGAGAAAAACATGTGAAAAAGGGCAGAGAGCTCCACCTACTGACTGGAAAGAGAAATGGGGTTGATTAAAACAGTCTCTTTCTCATTAACTGTGTAATGTGGCGCAAGCAGCCTAACTGGTGTGTTGAAACCTACTTAGGGCAGTTGATTGACAGAGACCTAACGATTGCTATTATAATCACTGGAAGGAGGTTTCCCATATAAAATGTATCTAAAAAAACTTGCTTTAAAAAAGGCCTGGATTCTTTCTTGGATACACAGAATATAACTGGTTACTAACATTTATAGGTAAAGTCAGGGGCGGACTGACAACTCATGGGGCCTCCGGGCAATAGGGGATCATGGGGCCCCTGTGTCCTTGCCCAAACTCAAAAAAAGCCTATGAAAAAGGTACCAGGGGCATCTCATGGGGCCCCCTACTGACTCCGGGCCCCCAGACAGTGCCTGAGTTTCCAAATGGTCAGTCCGCCCCTGGGTAAAGTCAATCCAGGGAATATCCAATTGCCTCTCGGGGGAGCAGGAAGGAATTTTTTCCCCTGCAGGAGCAAATTGGATCATGATTTGCTGTTTTTTTTTTTGCTTTCCTCTGGATCGACTGTGGGTATAGGATTATAACTTTTTTTTTTTTTGTAATGGTTGAACTGGATGGACTTTTATATTTTTTCAGCCAGACTAACTATGTAACTATGGTTTTTTTATTGCGTAGAATGGGGAAAGGGTTAGGGCTAGAACCCATGCCAGGTTTTATTGTTTCTCCAGCTAGGGAGATTCTATTTAAACTGGGGACCATTGTCATCAGGAAAGAAAGCATTGAGAAGTCCAAAATGTTACAGTTTTCACTGGAAGGGGTGATCTTACAATTACAGTCCCTGTACTAATGACCATGGCTAAGGTCCCTTTCAAATGGGTGTCTCTATTCTGTCTCAGCAGGGGACCTATAGATCAGACTCTTCCTGTCTGCTGCCCTGTTCCTCTGCTATTTGCATGAGTCACTACTGACAAGTTTTCCTGACACCAAGAGAAAAAATGTGACAGGAGGCAGCCTATGATTGACAACCTCAGCTCTGTTCCTGTGAACTGTGTGGAGTGGGGTGTGTCCTTTCCCTCCAATTAGCTCTTAGAGCTCTCCTCATTGAGCTCTACAGTGTGTAATTTCAGCTCTCCGTCCCCTTTTTTCTGACAGCTCAGACAAGCTTTATAAATTCTGGACTTTGATCAGATGTAGAGAAGAGAGGGTGACAGATAAACAGGTACAACTTATGGAGGAGGATTTGTTTCATCTCTGTGTATCACCTGAGGTCAATCACTTCACTGGGTATATGTAAGGGTTTATACTTTAGCTGTGTAATGTGAAAAACCCCTTTAAAAGCTGACCTGTATTTTAGGCTGAAGTGTTTGCTGGCCTTTTCATCTGTAACATCAAACTTCACTGATTTCAAGCCATTCATTTCCTGCTTTGTTCCGACAGGTTGCAGCAACATACTCTTCAATATTCTGCTTCTGACTTTGGAAAATGTTCCAGTTTTTGCATACTGTCCCTGGAAAAACCGCAGTTAGTAAACTTTGAATCTCCTTTTTAGATGGACTATTTTCAGTCTTGAAGTTTTGAAAGTGAGTCACCATCTGTTAGTTTTGATTAGCAAATATGCCTGTTCTGCCAGAAATTGGAGGGCTGATGAACATGAGAGGGGCTGGCCGCAAGAAGCCAACATTTCAGATTGTTTTTGTAATAATACTTGTTATTTAAAGTGTGTCTTTTACCATAAACTCACATGTTTTTATTTAGAATGGTTCCCACTTTCAACTTTAAAGTTGATTTCAGTGAGTGTTGGAGACCAAAAAGGCCTCCAGAGACATTGATGCTGCTTTCTAATGGACCCATAAAAGCCAATCAGAATGATTAACAGAGTTTTTTTCTCCACTTGTTTGTTGTAAGTATAAAATGCCGTTCATGAAAGCCTTACATGAGAGGAATACAGAATCTGCCATTGCTGACTATCCATCTGAAAATGCTAGTTCTCTGGCTTTCATGCTAACATTTTGGCTTTAAAGTGTTACTAAACCCACAACAGTAAAATCTGTCTGTATATGCAGTAAATCATGCTTGTTATACTCACTGTGAAACCTAAGGGGTTAATCCTCCACATTGTGCAAAAAGGCTGTTTGATCCTATCTTCTCTGATCCTCCCCATCTTCTACTGTCCCCTAAACAGAGGCTTGGGGGCAAGCTGCACATGCTCAGTTTGGTGTGTATTGCTAGAGAGTTTTCTTTTTCTTGGAAGAGTGCATGTGATCAGCACAGGGCCAATCAGCACTGTCCAGACAGAGGGTCAGGGGTCATGCAGCCTCATATGACAATCAGGGGAGAATGAAAACTCCTCCTACAAGCTTTAACCAATGCTCTGCTGGACACTGATAGAAGTCACAAGGCTGCTCTAATGTCTGATGAGAAAAGGTATTTAGCAATTTATATTTACTAAAATAATTGCATTTCCATTTTGTATGTACTGTGGGAGACCAGACAGAGTGAATGCAGGGTCAGGGGTTTAGTAGCACTTTAATACTGTTAAAATATATATTCATTGACTTAAACCCAAAAACCCACAATTATAGTGAAAAGATCAAAACCCAAAGAGATTACCCAAAAAATAAAAAATATCAAATATATATAAAAGAACAAAAATAAATAAAGTCCCAATATGCAAAGTGTCCAAATAATGTGTCCAAACAAAGATCAATTTCTTGATAGGAAGACGCTTCCTACTCCACTGAAGAAGATGCAAATCAATCACAGGTGCTCTTCAAATACCTCAAAAAACAAAATCTCAACATAGTATATTACCTTTTAAATCCCAGAACTAAAGTGCCACACGTGTATCATGCAAAAAAAAAAAACACTCCAGTGTCACAGCAATATAAAAACGATAAGATCAGCAAGACAGCATCCAACTCCTCATGCCCAGTATGCGATCCCCTTTCCGTGTGTAGAGGTTCTCCCGATCACCAGGTAATTCCCCCTTGCTACTCCTATCCAGCACTATCACTTTGTAGCTCTGGGGGACACCTGAAGTGCACCGTTACTCTCCATACCTCCAACACACAGGGATTCCAGAATCCAAAATGGCTGCCGCAGCACTTCCGGGAATGTCACGTGCCCTGGGCGCGTTTCGTCTCTTCTGGACTTTGTCAACAAGGATCCTTGTTGACAAAGTCCAGAAGAGACGAAACGCGTCCAGGGCACGTGACGTTCCCGGAAGTGCTGCGACAGCCATTTTGGATTCTGGAATCCCTGTGTGTTGGAGGTCTGGAGAGTAACGGTGCACTTCAGGTGTCCCCCAGAGCTACAAAGTGATAGTGCTGGATAGGAGTAGCAAGGGGGAATTACCTGGTGATCGGGAGAACCTCTACACACGGAAAGGGGATCGCATACTGGGCATGAGGAGTTGGATGCTGTCTTGCTGATCTTATCGTTTTTATATTGCTGTGACACTGGAGTGTTTTTTTTTTTTGCATGATACACGTGTGGCACTTTAGTTCTGGGATTTAAAAGGTAATATACTATGTTGAGATTTTGTTTTTTGAGGTATTTGAAGAGCACCTGTGATTGATTTGCATCTTCTTCAGTGGAGTAGGAAGCGTCTTCCTATCAAGAAATTGATCTTTGTTTGGACACATTATTTGGACACTTTGCATATTGGGACTTTATTTATTTTTTTCTCTTTTATATATATTTGATATTTTTTATTTTTTGGGTAATCTCTTTGGGTTTTGATCTTTTCACTATAATTGTGGGTTTTTGGGTTTAAGTCAATGAATATATATTTTATTAGTACTTCAGGGGAAGGATATTGATATGACTTTAAGGGATTCTTGAGGATTTTATATATATATGTGTGCTGATTTATATTTATTCCACTTTAATACTGTGTCTCTGACCCATGACTAGTATAGAGAGGGTGAATTTTGACAGGTGCGGCATGCTTGTTCAGGTCTATTTTTAAGAAAGCACTGAGGCCAGACACAGCCAGGAAACTAGTATTTGCAGAACAAGGCCAGTAATGGCAGCCTAATGTTTCTCTCTTGAATGGTTTACTTTTATACCTTGAAAGCACCAAACTGCTCTTGATAGCTAGTGTATTCCCGGTCAGAGGCACACTCTGGAATACAGCTGCACAGACCAAGCTGTCACTGAAAGTGTTGTACATGATGATGTAGCTCAAGCATAGCCAGTGCTGCAGCTGATCTCCCTCTCCTTGCCTGCCAGTCTACACTGAACATTTCTAGGGCTATATGCAATCAAACAGAAAGCAGAGGACAGCCCTGCCGACCACTAGGGAGAGCAGAGGAAAACCCCACCCACCACTAGGGAGAGCAGAGGAAAACCCCACCCACCACTAGGGAGAGCAGAGGAAAACCCCACCCACCACTAGGGAGAGCATAGAAAAACCCCACCCACCACTAGGGAGAGCAGAAGAAAGCCCCACCCACCAACCGGGAAAACAAAGGAAGCAGTAATGCTGTTGCTTTGCAGCCTGGGAAAGGACCAAAAAGGCTGGCAGGAGCAAGGACTTGTGGGAGATGTAGTCCCCAGAGAAAGTGTACCTAGTGCTACAGAGTGTTTTTGCAGCTACAGTTCCTGGCATTACAAGAGCTCTGCAAAGGAGGAAAAGGAAGAACCATTCCTGGGCTTGCCGCATTCATTGGGAGGATATTGTAGAGCATGCACTGTGTAGCAGGCTGCTGATGGGATGATTTTCTGCAGTGTTGAGGAAGCAGAGAGGCAGAATCGCTGGCATCTTCTGGTCTGTTGGGATGCCACTGTCAAGTCTGGTGTCCTTACCTAGTTGTGGGGAGGATGTGATAGGAACTGGCATCTCCGCCCTGGAGTCCCGGATGGAGAGTGGGAGACGACATGACATCCTTCTCTGTGTTGTGGGAGGCCATTGGCCATACCCTCTGCACACTAGTTAACGGAACAGTATTGTTGCTTGTGACACTATTTAGAAATGTACATACATTTTGGAGTTTGCATGTTCTCCCTGTGTTCGCATGGGTTTCCTCCAGAGGCTCTGCTTTCCTCCCACACTCTAAAGACATGCTGGTATGTTAATTGACCAAGTATTAATTGGCACTAGCATGTGTTTTTTCATAAATTTGTTAATTGCCAGCACTTGAAGAGAAGTGTCATACATGCATGCCGAGGTTTACGCTGATGCAGAAACTCAGAATATGAATTTACCTGAGCATGACTGCATACGGTCATTCACTTGCATTAGTGGCTGAGCATGGCATATGCGTTTCTCCTGGGTGCCAGTAAGCACCAGGGATTTTATGCCTAAACTGTTAAAAAACAACTGAAACCCTACTTTAGAGTTTTTTAATATTTGAGGACAAATTACTTCACAGTACAAGTAGCTAGAGAGGTTAGGGTGGCTTTTTTGAAAGCTCTTTTACTGTTTGTTAGGAATATGTAAAAACATAGTCTGGGTAAAGGTTTACTTTAAAGTAAATAGACTACCAGTCCTTAGATGTACTGGCTGTATTCATTTTCCTTTTTTAAGGTTTTTATACTTTTACTGTCAGCTGATGATTCTGCCAGTAACACTTTTCTGTCCTAGGGGGACAACACTCACTTTTCACACTGTATCTGACCATTGTATATAGTAGTGTTTTTTCTATCACTACTCTGTGTAGCACTAACCTCGTAAGGGCTGCTGGATTTGATTGGGCATTTTCCTGTGTGAACAAATGAGGACAAACTTCTTTGCAACTATGTACAAAAAGGGTAGACTGGCAAAAATAGAACATCCTCAGATATCAGATGAATCTTCCTCTTCATCCAGCTATACTGAGAGTATCCCTGAACAAGGGGATCCCAATAGCTTGCAATCAAGCAGTCCCAGATGAAGACTAGTTGGGTATTGCACCTGACCACCTTCTCCCCTTATCTGGCCCAGGGGGTATATGAGTACTCACAGTGTCCTGTCAGCATGGTGGGTTGGTAACTACTTTCAGGCCTTTTGCTGGGCTGGCTCCTTCCCTGCTAACAGGTTGTCCTCCCAAGGAGATGTTGAGGCAGTAGAGATCCTCCTGTTCAGCACCAGCCTGTAGGTAGGCTCACCTCCCTTGGGCCCCCCTCCCAGGCTCCATACTCCAGTCTTCTCTCAGTCCATCTTCCTCCTGACTTCCCCCCTCTTTGCAGGTCATATTTGAAGGTTGCCCTGGTCATCATGCCCAGCCTCCTGCCAGGGATTGGCCAGGGTCCCTCAAACATGCAAATCTGGGCTCTCACCCTCCCTGTTCCCGAATGTTCTCCAGTTTCTGGAAATGTGGGAAGGCTCCAGAAGCCCTGACCTGTAGAACCACTCAGCCTGTCCTGAGGTGAACTCCTGCCTCACTCATCCCAGGCTGCTACTCAGTCTCTGTCTAAAAAAACAACAAACTCTAACTAACCTGGAGGGCGTTACATCTGTATAACAGTTAATGCTGTTAATGGTTATTAAAAAGCAGCAGGTGCCTGCACAGGGGCGGACTGATAAGTCATGGGGCCCCTGTCCTTGCCCACACCCAAAAAAGCCTATGAAAAAGCCAATGAAAGATACCAGGGGCATCTCATGGGGGCCCCTACTGACCCTGGACTCTTGGATAGTGCCCGAGTGCTCAAATAGTAAGTCCGCCCCTGTGCCTGCACCTTCTGCATCCTTAGCAACCAGCAATGTCACCTTCAACTCTTCTGGGTAGGCTGTCTACAGTGATAGAATGCTTTACACCACTGCATCCAAAGCTTAGCATTGCACTTGGTGATGTAAGGCTTGGATGCAGCTGCTCGGCCATGGAAACCCATTCCATGAAGCTCAGCACTGTTGTTGTGCTAATCTGAAGGTCACATGAAGTTTGGAGGTCTTTAGCTATTGACTCTGCAGACAGTTGGCGACTTCTGCACACTGTGCGCTTCAGCATGCGCTTACCCCTCTCTGTCATTTTATGTGGCCTACCACTTGGTGGCTGAGTTGCTGTTGTTCTCAGTTGCTTCCACTTTATTATACCACTAACAGTTGACCGTGGAATATTTAGTAGTAAGGAAATGTCCCGGATGGACTTATTGCACAGGTGGCAACCTATCACGGTACCACGCTTGAATTCACCGAGCTCCTGAGAGCGACCCATTCTTTTACAAATGTTTGTAGAAGCAGTCTGCATGCCTAGTTGCTTGATTTTATACACCTGTGGCCATAGACGTGATTGGAACATCTGAATCCAATGATTTGGAGGGGGGTCCCAATACATTTGGCAATATAGTGTGTGTGTGTATATACAGTATATATATATATATATATATACACACAGAGAAAGAGAGTGAGAGATTTTTTTCATATTAATGCACTGAAAAGATTATTTACATTGTTTACATGTATACCTAAAAAACACAGCAAAGAATGTAGATTCCTTTTGAGGCAGTTGAATCATGCCTGTATGTCTGACCGATCTCAAATCACTGTAGAAATCCTTCTCGGCTTTTTTTTACCCTTTAAATAATTT